GTCCACTACTTCCGATACTTCCCTCTCAAATGGTCAATATTTTATAAACGTATACATTTAATTTAAAGCGAACTGAATAACCCATTTGATGAACATTAAATAGGAAAACACGTGGCAAAAAAAACATATGTCTTATATAAAGCTAATAATATGATATGTATATAATTCCGAAGACCTCCAAAAACCGTAGGCTGAGGGTATATATCTGTCGGCAATACCGACTGACACTTTTTTACTTGTTATATTAAAACTTGGACAAAGAATTTTTTTTTGAAAAATTTCCATACACTCGGAGTGCAAATTTCTGCTGTATAAAAATGAACTATTCGGCTTAAAATTTATAAATACTGCAATAGTTGTGCGAAATTTTGAAAAACCATGAATATTTTCATTTCTACTGTTTTGAATTTTTTAATCACTCGTACTTTTCCATTATTGCAAATCACGCTTATTGACCAAGCATTCATTCCGAAAATATTGAAAAATACTCCACTTATTACATACACGCTTATAGTCCGAAAGTAGGCTTAAGGTATTCAAACATTCACGCTATTCAATTCAAAAAATACTTCTAACAGTTGCCCACTTTTTGGAATCCTTTTGTAAATTAATTTTTATATTCCAAACTTAAAGAATAATGAGACTAAAGACACACTTAAAGACAATAGATTTCTAAACATAAATCATTGATTTCTAAATATATCGCTGAATTTTTATAAAATGTATTTGATAAGTTGTTTTAATTTACAAAAATAAATATTGATGAAGGTTTTAAAAATATAGATGACAATGATGACAGTTGTTAGAAATACATGACAGATGGAGGACATACATTTTGTAGATGACAACCAGTTAAAATAGATGATTGTCCTCTAAGAAATAGGACATATGGTAACCTTACGTATATGCGATTACAAGAAAAGTCATAGAGTCAATTTCGACAATTATTTTTTTATTTTTACACGCGGAACTATTTATTTTTGAAAAAAAAAATAACAGAAACAGGATTGATAACACTCTGACGTAGCTTCGAAATTATCAGAGATAACATTGAAGAAATCGTATAAGTGTGTCAACATATTTGTTGTAATTAATGTGTTAATCATTTGATTATTTTTAGTATGAATTATAAGCATGCAGGGAAGGCTATTACAAAGAATTAAAATTCATGGAAGTATTAACAAAAAAAAAAACATATAAATTCGTATTTATGTTTGATGAGGTTCGCATTTAAAACACCTAAATTCGATCGGGACTTTTAAACGACATATCAAATTACAGACTTTCAGGTTGGAAAATTGGGCTATGACCTTGAACATTTTGAAATTCACAAAAGACCAAAGCCAATGTTGATAATTTTGGTAAGAAGATTTATCACGCAAAAAAACTCTAATCTGATTTTTAGATTTTTTAATTCGGTTGAAAAACTGTTAGATGAGAACTACCCCAAACTTTTAGCTTATATCGGTCTTCCAGACCTTATTTCATTGGCAAACATCGTACAAGCAGTTGTGATGTATTTCAAAGCCAATCGCAAAAACTGACTGCAAAGAATTATATTCTGATCGAGGTCCGAATCTATAATGTTCTATACCCTTCTCTTGGTAAACAATGCTATATTTTCCGCTAATAATTTGTCGGAATTAAGCCTGACTCTTTAGAATAAAAACAAAATACAAATGATATCCAAAATAAACCGCCAACCCTATGGAATATCTTGTGAATATTTCGATAAGTTGCAAACGGAGTGACCAGTTAAATATACACTCCATCTTATGGGGAACGATATAACAAGTAAATGTGAGGATATATATAAATATCGCTTCATATATAGATATGACTCAAATTTATAACTTCTTACTACTTTATGGACATAATATACGAAATATGTCACATATGTGCGATTGACATCAAAAATATAGTTCAGAATAACATATCATGCGGTATATTTGTTTCAAATTATTAAACTTATTTCTTACACACTTAATTAATATTAACTTCAAACCACTGTGCATTTCTATGACTTGCATATAAATATGAAATAATTTCTGTAGTCTAGACGGAAACAAAAACAAATGTCGCTCTGCAAAAGTTATGATGATTTAAAATAAAAGTCGCAAAAAATTCGTGTTTACCGATTGAAACATTTGACTGTGCTAGTAAATGATAGATATGATGCGAACTTGAATGGCGTCATAGAGTGAAGAGAGTTAATGCTTCTTTTTGGGGGCGTTGTTTTCTATTTTAAAAGTGTTACACCTGCACTGAATTTTTGGACTTCAACAGCATTCTGTTAGTAATGAAATGCTAAACTATAAATTTGATGATTTATGTGTATTTCTAATTATCAATAGAATGGATGATAGTTTCCAAATCAAGTTTAGAATACCGAATATTTTTGCGTCTTTTATAAAAAATGGTAGTATTTGATTAGTTACATCAGTATAATGGAAACGTGGACATTGATGAAGATCTCCCAGAAACGACCGTTTAGGGTAAACTGATAATGTAGAAGAGTCATGTGAGATAGAGGCATTCTGGAGCATTTTTCCAATATCAAATGACCGTAAAAAAGTTTGGATCTCGCACAATTTGACAATCACTCACAACAAAAAGGATTGTGTCAATTGGTGCAAAAGAATTAAAATAAAACTATGACAGTGATTTAAAAAATAGTGGCGGTGACTGTCCTGAAACAAACCAGTAATCGACAGTGTTCGTCTTAAAAGATGTTCCAAATTCAATTAATTTTTTCAAGAAAGAATCAATCGAAGTAACTGTTCGACTGCTTCTTTGGCAGTAATGGTCATGTGGTAAAGTTTTCCGCTTGAAAAAAAGTAAAAAAAATCAATTCTAAGTAGTATACCACACTTTGTCTTTAGAGAAATTCGAAAACCGAATTTAGAGAAGATCGACTTAAAGCAGTGCATTTTCTACCAGCCAAAACAACGAAGTAATGGATAATCGTACAGCACAATAACTATAAAATGAAGTCCTACGCCTCAGGGAATGCGCTGATTTGCATTTTTATTATGTCAGCAATACATATTGTACCCCTCCTTCCATTTTTTAGCGATATTTAACCCTTAAGAAATATTCAAAAAAAAATGTTTGTATTGATTTTAAAAGATTACTAGAACAAGCAAAAAAGTCGTTAAAGATAGATATTTTATAACCTCCAACTTGAAGTGGATATTCAAAATACCTAAATTCCATCATGGTCCTTTATATCGGGGGCTATGAGATGTTAGATTGCCTCCAGCAAATAAGGCAACACTCAGGTTGGTAAATTGTGCTATGACCTTGAACATACCGAAAATGATTTGGGATATTTGTATAGGATACAAGTTCACGTTAAAAAAACACGAACTTGTATTGAAAATGCTCTGTGAAGATAGTTGTTGTCCCAGAAAAATAAACTACAGTCACTTCGTAATGCTAAAACATAGTCACTTGCGCCGGGGATCATCCAAGGTATTTGGATGGGGCTAGATCATTTATATAACATGACCTTTTTTGTTTTACATCTCTATATCCTCCGAAGGTTGTATGATTACCTAAAGGAGGGCTTATATTAATTACCATCGCTAGAAAATGCAGAAAATCGACAGGCATCATCTATATATCCTCCGATGGTAGTATGATTACAACATATGAACGGAAATTGTAAAATCATCTTAGAATTTCATACTCCAACGTGCGAGATAAATTAGTTAACCATTTTAATACAAAAAAGTAAAAAAATGTCAGTCGGTGTTGCCGATCGATATATACCCTCAGCCTTTGGCTTGCGGTTTTATTATTGGCTTTATATAAGGCATATGTTTTTTTATCCTAGAGGAGGAGAGGAGGTACCAGAAGGTGCGGACCAATTAGTCTCATATTCCGTCTTGATCTTGGACTGGTAAAGATAATAAAGTTTGATTCAAATCGGACAAATCTGATGGTCCCATGTTGTCTAGGCCACAAAAATTTGCAGAGGGGTTGGGAAACACCTAAATAAAATTCCAATAAAAAAATAACTAAAAAAGCTTAACCCATTCGAAAGCTATAACGATATATATATATATACATATATCGACGCCTCCGAACCATAGTATGCTAAGTCTGAAAAGTGAGTTTTTCAGTAGAAGCTCTCAAAATATGGAAGTTTCATATATCTTACGGGCCATGCTAAGTACATTTTGCTTATAAGTTCGGTTTGGATTGGCCGATGATTGCCAAAATTTCAGAGAATATAAATTAAATACCGTAGTATCTAAAAACGTAAAGATCTTTAAAACATGCTAAGTCGACTTAGCATACTATGGTTCGGAGGCGTAGATATATATATATATATATATATATTTGTTTTTATGGTTATTGACCGCAAATATGTGGTATACAGGTTAACTTCAAGCGGCCCATGGTCCAAACTAGGCAAAACAATGGCACAACAGCTCCCATAAGGTTAAAACTCCACAATGTCTTTATAGAAATAAATCTAATTAAAAATATATTTGAATTAACCTCATCCACTTAATATGTCACAGACGGTCTAAAATCAATTTTTCCGGTTCATTTAAAATATAACACTATTCTGTACGAAGGCCAAAGTTATAATGTATTGGCCCCCACACTGTATTATCTGTACCACTGAAATGTTTCCATGAGATAAGGGAAAAAGAGGAGCGTCTAACAAATTTTGTTTTGTTGTTTTTTTTTCTTAAAGGAAGATAAGAACGAGAGAATCCGCTACGAAACGGTATATAAATAAGGCACGCGACGTATTCAGCCGATTAGTACAGGTAGCGGTGTTCAATGTAAACATTCCGCTTGTGCTTGTGACTTTGATTAAGACCAAATAAATTTATTTACGGCTAATAGTGGCTAAATGATTTTATGAGCTAATTAGTGTAATAATTGTTTAAACAAAATAAAATCCCAAGAAAGACAGTGAATCAATAAGAAGTTGTGTGTGAATTTAATTTTTTTATAATACGAACTACTAACGAACTAAAATGAATAGCTTGGCTTTAGTTGGTCTTGCCGTATTGGCCTTGTTCATGAGTTGTCTATCAAAAATTGCGGAATATATAAGGCTAATAAAATGGTCAACGACAGTACCAGGACCTACAGTTGGTGAACTTATGGAGAATGCTAAAAAAGGACGTAAGTGTTAAGGGAAAAATTGAAAATTCAAAAAATAAAAATTAACTCCATTTCAAAATATCGATCGAACTCAAAATATCGAACAAAGTGTGCAACAATTACTCCAAAAGAAGGCTCGTCCTCAAAATATAAATAGCTCCCGTCATATTGTGAAATAGTATGTTTTGTTGTTATCATATCATCAGAGGGTGTGTCTAGATTTTTTTCTGGACTTTCACCCATTTGAGATAATCAAGTTTTTGCTCGAAAAGTATGTCAACCGTAAGCATGAATATAAAAAAAATCACAACAAGTTATAAAAAATATAAATGTTATTACCGGGTCAAAATACATTGCCCTTTAAAGTCTGGACAATAAAAAAATCAACATTTGTCAAAAAAATATATTAAAAAAAATTACATCTTGCTTGATAATCAAAAAATATATATTTTTAAAAAATCCACATCTTGCTTGATATTCAAAAATTAATTTTTTAATCCACGCCTTGCTAAATATCGAAAAAATATTTTCTAAAAAATCCACGCTTTTCTATGTATTCAAAAAAATTATTTTTTACCATTGTGCCATTTCTGTTCACCTTTGCCTCTCTATGACCTTTTCCAGCAGGATACTAAAATGTTCACACGACAAATTTGTCTGAATCCTCGTTCGGTATTAAAGGGCTCCGAGAGGTCATTTCCGACTTTAACTGCTGATCCTGGCACAAGAGTTAGAGTTATCCTGCATATCCGAATTAATTTTGCAGGAATGCCAAACGCAGGCATGACTTTAAACACCTTTGAACCGATAGGGATGTCGAATGCGGCTTTATAGTCGACGTATGGGTGGAATGTGTCGATGTTTTTCGTGGGTTTTTTCTAGGATTTCGCAGAGTGAAAATCTGGTCAATGGTGGGCTTGCCAGGCCTGAAGCCGCATTGGTATGGTCCAATAATGTCATTGCTAGCCAAATTGTACTAATCAGCTAGTGCATGCTCCTTACCAGCATCTGACCACCAGTCTTGAATAGTTCGGCTTGTAGCCCATCGGCACCTGCTGCTTTATTATTCTTCAGCCAATTGTTTGCTATTCTGACATCATCTTGGCTAGGTGGTAAATACTCTATACCGTCATCTATTATTGGTTCTGGGGTATCCTCTTCACCGCTACTATTTGATACCAGAAGTTTTTCGAAATACTCCTTCCATATTAGCTCACTATTTCAACGGGTGATGAAAATAGATACCACAGGTGACACCGCGGGGAGGTCATTCCACAACGTCATGTTAAAGCCAATCAGATGAAACTACGTCTAAATACACACCTTCAAAAAAAAATTATTTAAAAATAAATTCTTACAAATTTCTATTAATTTTCCAGAAATTCTCAACTGGTTCAAGGAGTTGCGTAAAAAACATGGAGCCACCTTCCGCATTTGGATGGGTAAGGATTTGGTGATATTCTTCACCGATCCAGATGATGTCAAGCAATTGTTGAGCAACAATACGCTGTTGCACAAATCGAGTAATTACAGAAGTTTGGAACCATGGCTGGGAAAGGGCCTGTTGACAAGCAGTGGTGAAACATGGCACAGAAGAAGGAAGCTTTTGACTCCAGCTTTTCATTTCCGTATTTTGAGTGAATTCAAAGAACCCATGGAAGAAAATTGCAAAATTTTGGCTAGCCGTCTAAAGGAGAAATGTAATGGCACCGAAGAATTCGATATCTATCCCTATATTACATTGTTCGCCTTGGATGTTATTTGCGAAACCGCAATGGGTATTAAGAAAAATGCCCAACTACAATCAGAATCGGAATATGTTAAGGCTGTCCAGAAGTAAGATCAAAATTTAATACTTATATTTTCCATTTAATTTAATTGTTTTCATTATTTTTTTCCAGAATTTGTCACATCCTGCACATGAAAGCCTTCTCGGTGTGGCAGCGGGTCAATCCTTTCTTCCAATACACTGAAGCTGGTCGTCAACGTGATGCTTGCCTTAAGATTTTACACGACGAAACCAACCGTGTCATCAAGTTGCGTCGTAAAATGTTAGAAGATGCCAAAATTCAAACAATGTCCGATGCTCAAAACTCCCTCGACAACGACAGTGGAAATAAAAAACGTTTCGCTTTTCTCGATATGCTGCTGATCTCACAAATGGAGGGTGTTGATCTGACAGATCGTGAAATACGTGAAGAAGTTGATACGTTTATGTTTGAGGGTCACGATACCACAAGTTCGGCCATTGGTTTTGCCATCTATTTCCTATCACAAAATCCTGAGGTGCAACAGGAAGCCTATGAGGAATGTATGGCTTTGGAGGGTAATGAAAAAGACAATATGCCATATTTGGAAGCTGTCATTAAGGAAACACTCCGTCTGTATCCTTCGGTGCCCACATTTGCCCGTTGCAATACTGAAGATTTACAAATTGGTAAATTGACTGTACCCAAAGGAACGAACGTGAGCATTTTAGCTCACATTTTACATCGTGATGAAACACATTTCCCTGATCCCGAGAAATTTGATCCTCAGAGGTTTTTGGATAAGTCGAATAAGATGCATCCATTCAGTTATGTGGCATTCAGTGCTGGACCACGTAATTGCATTGGTAAGTAAAGTGATATGAAATATTTATATGTATTATAATCGAAATTCAATTGTCCCTAAAATCGACTTATGAAAACTTCGGATTATCGACTTAATTTTAAATTACCCCCTCAGAGCTACAATCACTGACGAGTTTTATTTATTTTAATGTTTTCTTCCCATTTCCTTACAGGTCAAAAATTCGCCATGTTGGAATTGAAATGTTCCCTATCCTATCTCCTGCGTAATTTCGAATTTTTACCAGCCAAGGGCTTCCAACCAAATGCTTTGCCAGAATTGGTTACTAAAAGTGGAAATGGCATAAGAATTCGCATCAAGTCACGTGATTGAATTTAGAGTTTTAAGTTTGTCGTAGCTTTAAGTTATTTTGTTGTAAATATGTATATAAATTTGAAAATAAATAATATTTAAAAAAAATCAAAACATTTGTAATAGTTTATACTAGCATATGCCCGCAACTTCGTTAGCGAATGTAGGAAATATTTAATAATGTATAAACATATTATTTTATTTGTAGATAAAACTGCATATGTCTGAAAAAAACAATCCACACATTAATATCGACCATAAATTAAATTTGAGTACCATTTAGTACCAAATTTCATGATTCGAGCTCTAAAATCAAAATTTTAACAAATTTTCCATTTAGCACACATTATTTCCGTAAGTACCCTCCTCAACCAATGATTCCAAATTCCAGTTTCAGGATTCCAACTCTATTAATTCACCCACAATTGAAATTGTACCGAATTTAGTAATAGAATTTCCAAAACTTCCTACTTAACCCAAACCTACACCCTGACAGTGATTTTAAATCCAAGATTCAGGATTCCAACTCCATAGGTTCACCCACAATTCAAATTATACCAAATTTTGTACACAGTAGTACGAATTTCCACAATTTCCTACTTAACCCAAACCAACACCTTACAGTGATCCTAAATCTAAGTTTCAGGATTCAAACTCTACCCACAATTCAAATTGTACCAAATTTGGTACACATTAGTTCAAATTTCCAAAACTTCGTATATACCGCAATCATACACCCCCACAGTGATCCTAAATCCATGTTTCAGGATTCAAACTCTATCGGTTCACCCACAATACAAATTGTACCAAATTTAGTACACAGTAGTACCAATTTCCAAAACTTTCTACATACCCCAATCCCACACTGATCCTTAATCCAAGTTTCAGGATTCCAACTCTATCGGTTCACCCACAAATTAAATTGTACCAAATTTAGTACACTGTAGTACGAATCTTACACCTCAACAGTGATTTTGTCTCCAAATTTCATGATTCCAGCTCTATTGGGTCACCTTAAATTCAAATTGTACCAAATTTAGTACCATTTAGTACCCATAAGTATTATTTTTGTAAACTGAATCCTGACCCCAATCCCACACCCCTACAGTGATCCTGACTCCAAATTTCATTGTTCCCGCTCTATAGGTACACCCAAATCCAAACTGTACCGATTATAGTACGATTTAGTACTTTTCGTACACATAAGTAACAAATTTCCAAAACTACGTTCATATCCCACTCCTACACTCCCACGGTAATTTTAATTTCAAATTCCAGGATTCCAGCTCGATTTGTACCTCCAAATCAAATTTGTACCAAATATAGTACCATATAGTACTTTTCGTACACATGAGTGCACGCTTTCCAAACTCTCCTCATATCGACCCTAATTCTCAACCTTAATTTGCATTCCAAATTTCAAGTTTTTAGCTCAATCTATTCACATGCTACGAAATTGTACCAAATTTAGTACATTTCAGAACTTTTCCAATGCTTATAGTTCGAATTTCCAAAAAAGTCATTTGCTACATCTATTCTACACTCCATCAGTGACCCTCAATTTCAGATTTCTAGCTATACTGGTTCGCCAAATACAAATGATACCATATTTAGTATTTTTAGTACTTTTCGTACGGTTCTAGTACGAATTTCCAAAAACCCTTTGGTACATCTATCCTACACTCCATCAACGACCACCAAACCAAATTTCAGAGTTCTAGCTCCACCGGTTCGCCAAATACAAATGGTATCACATTTAGTACTTTTCGTACCGTTCTAGTACGAATTTCCAAAAACCCAGCCTTATCTGTCACCTTTGGACCAAGGGTGACCCTCACCCAAAATTTCAAGATTCTAGCTTCAGCAGTTTCGTCTGGGCGTTGATGAATCGTTAAATTAGTCAGTCAATCAATCACTTTACTCTTTTATTAGTATAGATTAGAACAAAATTAAATACTAAAATATATTATACAATGGTACTATATATAATTCAGGTCTAGGTAACACTAGGTGTTGTCTGATGACATTTTTTGAATTTGTATTGGGAAAATTTACTTTTTGTAGAAAAAAACTTAGTACAGTTTGGCGTACCACCATGTGTTGTGCTGTTTCCAATGACTTGGAAAAATCATTTTGCTAGCACATTATATACGTTTTCGTGCTATAATTTTTCACAATTTTCGATGTGGATTATCACAAGTACATCGAAGATGAATCACATTCCGATAGTATTATGAAAACTGTGTTTTACTGACAAGTGGTCAATATTAGAGTTGGGCAATTTCACGGAGCGGATCGATCTTAATATAGATCCTTTGCTTTATGTAATTCAGACTCCTAAATAGTTTTTTTGAATGTCTCTCTTTCATCGTTCTCTTTATTATTATAATTCAGACTCCTAGATAGTTTTTTTGAATGTCTCTCTTTCATCGTTCTCTTTATTATTATAATAATAAATTATAATAATAAGAATAAAGAGAACGATGAAAGAGAGACATTCAAAAAAACTATCTAGGAGTCTGAATTGCATAAAGCATTTTGTGTTCACATGGTTCCGTGTTGATTCGTTGATGAATGAAAAAGTATCAGAGAAGACCTGTAAAATGTGCCGAATATTCTCTTTGGTCACTTCCTTCGTTAACACCCTGTAACTTACAACGGAATTCAGCAAACAAAAAACAGCAAAATAGTTTTTTACTGCGAAATGTCACCCTTCCAACGAGCATAAATCTGAATCTGTTTGATCGATACTTTATGCGACATCTATCAGTACAGCCATCTGCCGAAAAATATGGATTTCTAATATTTCTTAAGAGCTTGCTCCATTCTCGCAATAGTTCCAATTAACTAGTTCGATCAGGAACTACCCAACTCTTGTCAATATTCTATGACCCAAGTGACGTACCGTGAAATAGAGACATATCATTCGATATTGCATGAGCACCTGTGCTCAAAAATGTGTTTTTTTTTTCTTTTCGCACAATGTTTAAATCGAAGCAAATGATCGCCCATATCTTCCTCGTAAGCACCGTAGGATGTTAATTCTGTGTGGTACATCTCATTCTTTTTACTAAAGCCTTGAAGAAATTCGAAAACTTTCGCAATAGGTCTCTCTCATTGGCTCAAATCAGCGCCTTTCTGATGGGCCAAAATGTGGAATTGATGGGTCATCCGTCATACTACCATTTTTTTGGAACCCAATTACTACTTTATATTACACATCTAATACTTTATGTGTTGTCTACGATTTTTGTCCCCAAAATTTTTGTGAAACCTCCAAGGCATATTTGGATCAGTCTCTATCTGAATGAAAAGTGCTTCAATAATTGGTTTGAGCGTAGGGAAAACGGGATAAATTCTCAAGCGTGATACCTTGAGAAAAAATGAAATCGTAATTTTAAAATAAATATTCACCCACTCATTATTATATAGTAGCCCTCTTATGTCGTACAAGTAGTTTTTGAGGTATTGGTGAGTACTTGGATTTACTTCCCACGTGTAAATATTTCCTAAAAATACATTTAACATATCAAATCTTCGTTTAGTCCGAACTTTTTTAATCTCCACCATGAGGTGAACATTCAAAATACCTAAAATTGATCGGGACTTTTAAACAGATAACTAAGCTGGAAAATTGGTCTAGGGACTACAATTCCCGAAAATGTTGATATGCAATATTACTGCTTGTAATGGAAAACGCGCCTAGAACAATGAAAATATTTTCAAAGTGGTGAACTTTTAATAGTAGGGGACTATGGGGACTACATATGATCACCGATATAGGTAATTTTTGGTAAGAATGATTTCCCAACCCATGAGAACCAATACTATATTATTACAGCGACATCAGTTGAAACGTGAATGAAATCCACAAAATACTAAAAAATTGAGGTTATACCAAAACATGGACAAATATTAATATGACAAAATATTAATAACGTTTGGTATAAAGATTTGCTATTCAAAATATAGGGACGGCTATGACAAATCATCGACCCATATCGAACATTTACTGCAAATATGTTTGTCACTCACCAAGATCTCCGATTTTAAATTGCTATTACTTTGATAGTAAAAATGATGCTTAAATATTAAAAAAAATGCAGCGGGAACTTTATATTTTCTGCTTATATGTTCTTCATCCTCCTAGGAACCGAACAGTCAAATTACAGTCCTGTGGGTTGAAAACTGTACCTAAAAACCGAAAATTTATGGATTCACTTGTATAGGGGTACATTAAAACGTTTACCGATACATAACATTCTGCAAACATCGTGTAATAAAAACAATTTGATGTGCAATGTTTGTATCAAAACGAACATACCATTCCTTTAATATTGAATTGACAAATTTTCATAATTATGGCACTTTGCGAGAGGATACAAGGAGGAATGAACCGATGGGTTCCTTCAATCGACTTGAATTAGGTTTGGTAAAAGTATTACGATGTGAAAAGTTTTTATTAAATCATAATATCAGCCAGCCAGACTGACGGATGGATATTTTTAAATCGATTTGGCTCAAAAAAACATGGGATACAAAACTAATATTTCGATGAGTCACATTTTACCATAGCAAAGTGTAAATTATTATTTGCTGTAAGTCTAGAGTATAAAAATAATCGGTATGGAATTTTTTGTAATGAGGTTTTGGTGGAGGTTATAATAAAATAAATAATAACTGATATACAGAAGTACGTAAATTCACTACAAATATTGCATATTTTTAGGCTGACATGTAAACTAATATATCAGCTTATACAAAAGTATAACAGAAGTGCAGATAAATTTATGAATTTAATCAATATATGGATTGTGTATTATTCCCAGTGCAGAACAAAAATTTTAATTATGACATGAGAACTTCGAGTATTATGAACTACAACTTTCTTTTTTTTAATCATTGATGCTTTTTGTTGGGCTTTTTTGGTCAGGTATTTTTGATGAAAATAAAAAACTGGTTTTTATTTCATATTTTGTTCGACGTTCAAGAGCGTTTTTTATTGATCTATTGACAATTGAAAGGAATTATAATTTTTATTATAATTTCTTTTCAATATACTGCTTATTCTGAATATTGCACTTATTTTTTATACCCTTCACCACACTGTGGTACAGGGAAAAGGAAACGAGATAGACCCATGGTTCCTTTTGAGAATATGCATAGAATCACTTTTTAAGTCGATTTAAGCATGTCCGTCCGTCTGTCTGTCTGTCCATGTATTTTTGTGAGCAAAGTACAGGTCACATTTATGATCCGAATTGGATGAAATTTGGCACAGCTCATTTGTTTGGCCCAAGGACGAACCCTCTTGAAATTGGGAAAAATCGGTTCAGATTTAGATATAGCTCCCATTTATATTTTCGTCCGATGTAATGTAACTGGTGTTTCAAAGTCCTTATATATCTTTCGATTTGGACGAAATTTGGTATAACGTACTGAATTGGGCCTAGAGCGATGTCTGCCAAATTTCGTGAAAATCGGTCCAGATTTAGATATAGCTCCCATGTATAGTTTCGTCCGATTTCATGTAAATGGTGCACCAAAGTCACTATATATATTTCGATATGCACGAAATTTGGCACAACGTACTGAATTGAGCCTAGAGTGATGTCTGACAAGTTTCGTGAAAATCGGTCCAGATTTAGATATAGCTCCCATATATAGTTTCGTCAGATTTCATGTAAATGGTGCACTAAAATCCCTATATATCTTTCGATTTGCCCGAAATTTGGCACAACGTACTGAATTGAGCCTAGAGTGATGTCTGACAAGTTTCGTGAAAATCGGTCCAGATTTAGATATAGCTCCCATATATAGTTTCGTCAGATTTCATGTAAATGGTGCACCAAAGTCCCTATATATCTTTCGATTTGCACGAAATTTGGCATAACGTACTTAATTGAGTGATGTCTGCCAATTTTCGTGAAAATCGGTCCAGATTTAGATATAGCCCCCATATATAGTTTCGTCCGATTTCATTTAAATGGTGCACCAAAGTCCCTATATATCATTCCACATGCACGAAATTTGACATAACGTACTGAATTGAGTCTAAAATGATGTCCGCCAAGTTTTGTGAAAATAGGTCAAGATTTAGATATAGCTCCCATATATAGTTTCGTCCGATTTCATTTAAATGGTGCACCAAAGTCCCTATATATCTTTCGATATGCACGAAATTTGACATAACGTACTGAATTGAGCCTAGAATGATGTCTGGTATGTTTCGTGAAAATCGGTCCAGATTTAGATATAGCTCCCATATATAACTTCGTCCGTTTTCATGTAAATGGTGCACCAAAGTCCCATATATCTTTCGATTTGCACGAAATTTGGCATAACATACTGAATTGATGCTGGAATGATGTGTGCTGAGTTTCGTGAAAATCGATTCAGATTTTAATATATATATATATATATATATATACGTTGCATAACGTTTTGAATTAAACCAGAATAATGTGTGCCATGTTTAGTGAAAATCGGTTGAGATTTAGATGTAAGCTCCCTTATATTATAGATTGATTTTAAGTAATTGACGCACCAAGGAACCAATATATGGCTGATAAGAACAAAACGTACTGAAATCAGTATAGCCTAACCTGTGACAAGTTTCGTTGAAATCGGTTCATATTTGGATATAGCATCCATATATAAGTAAATTGTGCATCAAACTCCTCATATTTGTTAGATTGACATCAAATTTTGAACAACGTTCAAAATTGAGTATAGAATAACGTAATTGGGTTTTCTAGAAATACAGACCTAGCCCAACGGATGACCTTTAGATATTTGTTTGAAGTCGATTTACATACTTTTGTTCCATTGTAACAAACTAATGACATGTTTATGGATAGATCTAGGTCGTTTAACATGTAGATAAATATCACATATTTTATTTCATACAATTTCATGATAATAGTCCTGTTTTATATACTCATAGTGGTGAAGGGTATCATAGTGTCGGCTTCGTCCGACTTTACTACTTTTCTTACTGGTTTTATTTTTAGGTTTTTTAGATCACTTGTACTTGTCTATAAAAAATTATTATTGAATTATTCAAAAAACTCAAAATGAGGTATTAAAAACCATAACGGGTAATGTGTATTTCACTGTTGATTAACTATTAAAATTGAAATAAATGGGCCCAATTTTTGGAATAGCCCCAATATAAGAATACCACCCTATTTGGACCAAAATTCATTATCCACCCAAGAACTTGTAATTAGGCATACCCTCAGCCTATGACACTTAACCTGACAATGCAACATTGGTTAAAGGAATTTAAGGAATCACTTTCGTTATGGGACATTTTTTATAAAATATTAGTGGACTAGCACTATGAGCCCAAGAATGTTTTATAACCAAATCGGCTATATTTGAAACTTTTTAAATCATCCCATAGTTTTATGATTTTAATAATAAATTAAATATTTAATATTTTCTTATGTCTGATCCGCCATTTCGGATTCATTTTGTTTGATTTTCAAATTCTGATTTCACATTTGTAATCAGTGGCCATATCTCTATATAACGTGTTCAATCAAAACTAATTTCATTAATTCAATTTAAAAAAATGTCCGTCATTCGATCCATCCTAATGCATTAAATATATGGTTAGTATAAATATTAATTACTTAGCTGGCTTATGACAGAACGGTTGTTCCATATGCCGACCTTAAACAAAATTTCCAGACGCGTCGGTCTTGTGCACATCTCATCCAATTTGAAAGACCATTTTCCGAGATGTTGTCTTCTATTCATGGCCTTCCCCTTCTACGTGAACCTTAGCTTGGATCGCTTTTATATGCCTTTTGAGCTGGGGCATCTTCATCCATTCTCACAACATGTCCTAGCCAACGCTGTCGCTGGAGTTCGATACGTCTGACTATGTCGATGCCAGAAAAATATATGGTATAGCTCATGGTTCATTCGACTTTGGTATTCACCGTCGAATCAGATCGAATCATAGATCAGGAGAATTGTTCTCTCAAACATTACAAGAGCTGTCTCGTCTGCTTGCGCATATACCCATGCTTCAGATTCATACAACAGCGCTAATAATATTAGCATCTCGATTTTGAGTTGCTTACACAGTCGTATCTGTTGGCCAACACTATTCTCCTCCGGATTTCAAAGCTGATGTTATTAGTTTTGTTATAATTGCGTTGAAATTTTGACATTCGGATGTTCCAGTGATCGGCAATCATGCTCGCCATCGAAAAGGATGACTTTTATTTAAGGGAACCCCACCCATTCTCGATTTTAATTTTTCAAGATTTTCAATGGGCTGGTAAATCAATACCAATGCTTGTTAAGGTTTGTAACTTTGCACATATATATTTGAAGATTTAAAAGAGAAGAAAAATAATTTACAAAAAATGTTTGTTATTGTTTTGTTGTTGTTTTTTGTAATTAAAGAAAAGTCCTTATTTTCGATGGCGGGCATGATAACTCCTCACTGGAACATCGGAATCCGAAAATTCCAACGGTGTTTATTTACTTCGCTCTAAAATTAACAAAATGGCGGACCTTTGAAAAAATATTTTTGGAAAATCGGAAATTTTTGACCAAAAACCAAGTTAAAAATAAGGAAGATTTCACCGATTGGCTTTATCCTAGTTCATACGATAGCTATACACTCACAGAGAAACGTGTAAAAATTTGGAATCGATTGGGTTATTAGTTTTTGAGTTATCGTGCCCGCCATTCGCAAAAGAGAAAAACCCGTTTCAAGTTTGAGAAGCCCTTTAGTCGTCACTTGATGCTGACGCAATAAATCGGCTATATTTTCAAGAGTTCTTGAGATTTTCTCTTGAAATTTTGTAGGGACATTCTTAAATTAGTGTAGAATCGAATTAAATCAAAAAATATTTCGACCCCGAGAATGGGGGTCCCCTTAATTACAAAAGAACAGCAAGAGCTTTTTGTCAATCTATGTTATTTTTCTTTAAGCCATCAAATACAAGGGCGGTTCGGAATAGTTAGTATTTTTTATGTTTCAATATAATCTCCTGAAACTTCCATACACTTAGTGCAACGCTTTTCTAGCAATTCTTTCACTTGATTAAAATAGTTTTCTTCAAGGTCTTCAAAATAGTGATTTACAACTGTAATTGCATATTATTTGAGCTAAAACGCTTGCCAATAAGGATTTTTTTTAGATTTGGGAACAAGTAAAAGTCACTGGAAGCTAAATCAGAAAAATAATGTGTGTGGTCAAGCAGTTCGTACTTTAATTCGTTGATTTTAGCCATTGTAAAAACACTCTTGCGCGCCGGTGCGTTGTCTTCATCAGATTTTTTTTTGTGTTGTAAGCCAGGACGTTTTTCTCGTATTTGTACATTTAATTGATCCAAAAGGTTGCAATTGTATTCTGAATTGATTGTTTACCTTTTGCAGAAAGTCAATCAACAAATACCTTTAAAGTCCCAAAAAACCGTTGCCACAACCTTACCCCCCGATTGAATTGTTTTTGCCTTCTTTTGGGCACTTTCTCCAGCTTCAGTCCATTGTTTGGATTGTTATTTTGTCTCTGGAGTATAGTGGTGGATCCATGTTTCACTAACAGTTATGAAACCACTCTTAAAATTCATTTTATTTAGCTTAAAACGACCTAAACAAGCATGAGAACTGTCCATTCTTATGCGTTTATGATCGACTTTTAATAAATGCGGCATCCATCTTTCAGAAAGCTTTTTCATCTGTAGATCTTCATGCTAAATTAAATGGACTCGCTCGTGTGAGATGCCCATGATATAAGCAATTCCACGCACTTTTATTCGTCGATCATTTAATAGCATATCATGCTCGTTGGCTACAATTGATGTTGTTGTTGCTGTACGCTTGTACGACCACGTTTAAATTCAGCAACCCAATTTTTTACTGTTGCATATGAAGGAGCACTTTCACCTAACACATTCACCATACCATTATGAATTTCTGGCCTCGATAAACATTTTGTATGTAAATATTTAATGATAGCACGCGTTTCTAATTTTAGCATTGTAAAAAAATTTGAACACTTCTTTCTATATGAAGGAGTTGCCAGATCGAAAAAAAATTTAACATGTGTTGACAGAGATGGAAATTTCCAAAACACTTAACTTTTTTCTGTTTATACCGCGCTTTTTGTGCTAGGCTAGGTTTCGGGACTGCATCGTACCTTAGTTTCTAAAATAAATCTTCGAATTGCGCTAACTAAATTAAAGTGACACTCCCAGAAAAGCCTGGAAGAAGGAACAAATTCCAAGCATTATAAAATTAACTTAGGAATGACAATAACTTAGGGCTGCTATAATTTATCCCATTACTGCCTCACACACGGCAATTAACGGCTCTCATGTTGACAAAAAAAAGTTATTTATTGAGAACCCATGAATTTGGTTCTCAATAAATATAATTGATGAAATTTCTATTGTATTTGCGCGATATATAGCAAAACAAACAAATCGCGCAGGCATCAACACAACAATCAGTCGGTTAGTCTCAGCTGCTCAGAACAATTCACAGCGAAATGAACGCGGCGGACTACGGGAAATTGTGAATAGGAAGGAAATTCAATAGAAACGTGTAACAACAAAACAAACAAATAAATATATCTTAATCTTCGACGCCAGTAATTGTTTTTACAAATATTTGATGTGATAATTTTAAAAGTGGGTTGATATTGAATGAAATAATTTCTGAGTTTTCTATTATTACTTTGTATTTACAATTTGACAATTTTTGTTTTAACAATTTGTTTTATCCGTTTGCCTAAATTGTGTAATTAAAATTAAAATCAAATTGAAAAAATAAATTAATTAATCCCCCAATAAAACATTGTGCATACATATGTGTCACTTCGCGCTATCTTTGACGCTAGATAATATCTGTCAATTGTGAAATTACCCCAAACGTCACGCATAATTCATATGTGGGGAGATGGTGGCGTTGTGTAAACTAACAATTTATGGCAAATCAAAACGGTAATTACCCAACCGCTATTAAGTTTTTTTCGAACGAAAGAATAAAAACTTTGATAAATTAGAGAATGTTTGAAAAGGGAATTCACTTTTGAAAGATTTCTATATGTCCGATACCTCTTGAATTGTTTTATTAATTTCTTTTCAATAAAAAAATAATCCATTCTAATCTTTATATTATCTTTTTGCAGAACTACAAATAAACATGACAGAGAAGAAATCGGAACTAAGTGCTAATAACAATGCAGCCATCTACAAACAAACGACAATACCCAAAAAATCAAAACACCGTGACAAAAGTGACTTAGGACCCAATTTTGTGGCGCCCGATGGTGGTTGGGGCTGGGTTGTATGCATTGCGACGGGGCTTAGTAATGTAAGTTTTTTATGCAAATTTTATTGTAAGTAGCAAATTTATAACTGTTATTATTAACAAGTAGAAACGTTGTTAAGTTCGACCAGCCCAAACTTTGTATACCCTTCACTTCGTGGTGTGCATTCCAAATTCCTTACATCGAGCGGGATCTTTGAATGGGAACTACTTTGTGTACCAACATTTTTAGGCACTTCGATGCAAAAATTCGGTAAAAAACTTAATAACGAAACATAGACCTATATTTTATTTCATCAACCATTTATACGAAATTACATCCAGATCGATGGGTAAATGCTTATAAAAAATATTGTTAAAAAACGCCTAGGATGGTGCTTGTAATAATAATGTTTAAAAAATCCTCGCCTTGAATGGTGCTCGAAAAAATACTCGTAAGCCCATATTGATAATTTTTGTAAAAAGAGACCATTCGGTATAAAAACTTGCCCAAACCCCTCCAAAATACCACATACTGGGGGCTAATATTGATCATTTTCTACTCAAAGAGGATTCAACGATTGAAACACTTGCCCAAATTCCTCAAAATGCCGACATTTGGAATGTAGCGTTATATAGGTGCTATATTAAAATGGACCAATATTGAACATTTTAGTACGAAGATTTTATACCCAGATAGGACCCCAAAACACCAAATTACAGCTGATTAGGTTAAAAACGTGACCACAAAATTCAAAATATGGAATATTTGGGGTTAAAGCTATATGAGGACTGTCCGAAGAGGTTGATACCATTTTCAAATGATTCCATTCTCAATACCAAATACAACACCAAGAGTTGTAACGATGTAGGTGGGACTGGGGAACCTTCGGCAATGGCGTTTTCGATATGAAACGTTAATCCATTGATATATAACAAGAGAATGCAGGTATGGCAGTTGATTGTTGTTTTCAAATTCCATGGTGAATTGTATTTGAGGGCTATATGAGTTCAAGATGTCCAAAACTGTAAAAATATTAGGTTGGGGAAAAATGAAATCCATTAGGCCAATCGTCGAAAATGTCGACAAAATCGGAGAAATGATCGAAGGTGACCGGCACGTTAGCAGTCGTAACATCACCCAGGAGCTAAAAATCGACCATAAAACTGTTTAAGCCATTTACACAAAGCTGGAATCAAAAAGAAACTCGATGTATGTGTGCCGCACCAATTAACAAAAAAAAAAAAAAAATAGGATGGATCGAATTTCTTTCTGCGAATCATTGGCCAAAATACGAGACAGACCCATTTCTTAAACAAATGATGATAAATGGATCACATATGATAACCCTGCGAGAAAACGATCATAGTCAACGAGCGGTGAAGCACCTCAAACGGTGACCAAACCAGGACTAACGGCCAGGAAGGTTCTGCTATGCATTTGGTGGGGCTGGAAGGAGATTATTATGTATTATGAGTTGCTTCCATATGGCCAAACGCTAAATTCTGATATC